GGGCTAACGTTAGCCCGTCTGCAGCATCCCTCACTCAGCATAGCTGTGTGTGAAGGACCGCTGGCGTTCAGAGTTTTTTGTTTTATTTGGCAAAATATCAATCAGCTGCCAATATAAGGGTTAATGTTATGATTTGGCGCTATATAAATAAACGGAATTGAATTGAATTTCTGAATTCTGCTGTTGAATCAAAGGTTGAAACCAGAGTTAAATGCCTACACTTCAAACTTGCTGGAGGCGATCATATTTTTAATTTGTTTGTTTTTTTCCAAATAGAGCTCAATATTTTTCCCCTGCAGCAACAATCCTATTATTTTGGCATCCGAAGTTGTTTTCTGTTGAAAAGCTCCTTAATAAGACCCTGATTAATGAAGATAGGATGAGGGAAGCTAAGCTGTAAGGCTGAGCGCCTGCTGCTCTGCAGGGCGCTGCATGCTCACCAGGAAGACTTGATTTGCACTTTCGCTGAGTGTGGAGTCATCGGGGCTGTCGACTGGAGTCTGGCTGGTGAACTTGGAGTCAAACTGGCTTACATCATCTGCTGATTGCTGCAGAAAGAAGAAAGCTGATTAAATCTGCAGGAAGTTAGAGGAGCTGATCATTGAATTCTACTAGACAGCATTGCTTCTGATTTACTGGTAAAAAAAGCTTCTAAGAAAACATCAGTAAAGTGTCAGATTGATGATTTATCTGTAACTCTCATGATTTTCTTTGTAGGAATAGGAACCATGGAGAAGAAGCTGTGACGACAGGAAGCCACACCCACCAGGAAGGGTTTGAAGGGAGGCTCTACTTTGCGAGCGAGGAGATCGTCCCAGTTTATGAAGCGGAAGAATGGATGGGCCTGGAAGAAACAATCAGCTTTTTAATTACTACACCAACACAGTTTTTTTTCTCTTTCTGGTGCATCTCTGGTAAAGCAGAAGGAAGTGGATGAACCCGTTTACCTGGACCTCAGCAGAGTCACCGGATCCACCTCCGAGTCGTGATGAGGCACTTCGTCTCAGCAGCTTCAGGAAACAGATGGAAAGGAATCTCTCAGCTTTCTAGAAAAGGGTTCTTAGGTCTTTGGCTCTTCACAACCACTATTAAGCATTTTTGCTTTGGATAATCTTTACATGCTTCGTTCCAGATACTTAGAGATTCACTTCCATACAGAAAGCCCATATTCTTCTCTTCAGCTACCACAGTATACATGTCAGATTAAATAATAATACTTATACTTCAGCGATAGTATCAAGGTGTTACTTTATTATGTCTCATATCTGTTGGTTGTGCTTTTCTTTCTACATCTGTTTGCAGGTGATGAAGCAGACAGAAGATGTTTTATATTATCTCCTCTTTCTTTCATCTTTTCTCCTTTTTTTCTGTTTTTCCTTTCCTGTTCTACTTACATTGCAGTGTCCATATAATCTGTAATACTCCCTGCATGAATTATATTAAATATAATTTATATGCATAAATTAAGCGGAACACTATGGCGATAGCTGTACTGCTCCTCTTGTGAAAGTCAAATCTGTTGGGCTCTTTTTGGCATCAAGTCAATTATTCTTATTGCCACCTTGCCAGACAGGACACTGTTAAAAAAAAAGAAAAGGGTTCAAATGCATTTTTCGCTCACATTTACAGTTTTACTACGCTCTCCATCCTCATCTAAACCTAGAAACCATCTTAATCCAATTCCAATCCTTCCCAGGCTGCTCGGGGATCCTGGGTTTAAACAGCTCACCTTTTTCAGGAGGTCCCTGGCTTCTTGTGTGAGGTAAGGTGGAAGGCTGAGTTTGCATTTCAGGATTTTATCAATAGTCTTCTTCCTGTTTTCACCTGTAAAAGGAGGCTAACAGAGAGAAGCTGGTCAGAAACTCAGACTCTGCTACAGATCTTCTGATGGGTGTAGACTTACTGCTCCAGTCAGCATGTCATACATGAGGGCGCCGAGACTCCACCAGTCCACGGCGCGATTGTGTCCGCTCCTCATCAGGATCTCTGGAGCCCTGAGGAGGGGAGAAAGCAAAGAAATGGGAAACCGTGAAGCAGCAGGAAGGAAAAGGCTTAAATCGATTAATAATCAGACCAATCTTCCTTACATGTACTCAATGGTCCCACAGAAGGTGTGGGTGTACGTTCCATCATGGATGGACTCTTTGCACAGACCGAAGTCTGTCAGCTTCACGTGTCCTAGAAAG